CACAACAACAACAACAACAACAGGACATTGAGAATAAACAACTTGTAAGTTGGCTAAAGAAAGACAAGCCATTTTTAAAAAATAAAAAAAAAAAGACTATTTCACCAAAACTACTATTACCATAGTCATCAGTGACTTCTATTGATAAAAAGCCAATGGCCAATTTTCAGCCTTAATCTTACTTGATCTGCTGCAGTTTTTGACATTGTTAGATACTTTCTGTTCCTAAAATACTTCTATAACTTCCTACTTTTCTGGTTTTGCTTATTTTCTCTGTGACTGCTCCTTCTTTGTCTCTATTCATATTTCCTGTTCCTCCACTGATCTCTTAAATGCTGGTGTTCCCCAGCCTTCCTTTCTCACACTATTCATCTTCCAAATTTCACATGCTGATAATACACACGTCTCTGTCTGTAACTCTAATCTTTTTTGCACGGATCATAATAAGAAGCTGTGGTGAGATACCACTTTTTCACCTGTCAATTTAGAAGTCTACAGCTTTGATTATGTTTGATGCTGACAAAGTTGTGGAGAAGCAAGTGCTTTCTTGATTGCTGGTGGAATTACATCTGTAAAGTAACTTGGTGTTTTTTGTTATCTAGTGTTGCTATAACAGACATACCACAGATGTATGGCTTTATCAAACAGGGATTTATTCTCTTATAGTTCAGGAGGCTAGAAGTCTGAGTTCACCGTACCAGCTCTAGGGACTGGGTAGAGGCCCCTCAACCTTGGGCTTCAGCTCTGCCTCTTCTGGCCCACTGAAGCTGGAGGCTTCTTTTAACTCAGGCAGCCACTGGCTGCTGAGACTGACAAACCCAAGGTTGACAAGTAAAATGGCCCAGTCCCAAGTTATTAAGCAACATGGCAGGCCACTAGTTCAAATCCAGAAACAGTCCCAAGATCGACCGGCATCATGGCAGGCTGCCAAATGAAGACTCGGCTACATGCAGGGTCCAAATCTGCCAAAAAGCTAAGACTTTTCTCAAAGCTGTAGTTCTTATATACTGGAAGCAGACTACATAAGGCAGCTACTCAGCTGCTCACAGCAGATTCCACCATGGAGTTGATTACGTCTCATCATGGGGAATAATTACATCCAACCACCCAGCTGCTCAAAACCAGGCCCAACCAAGGTGACACATAACCTTAACTATCACACCTGTAAGTATCTGTCAAAATGTAAAATGCACAATCTATCCAAGATAAGCATAAGGTGGTGGTGGTGTTGGGTGATGTTGAGTTGGCTCTGACTCACAGTGACCTTATGTACAACAGAACAAAACACCACCCAGTCCTGCGCCATCCTCACAATGTTTTCTCTACCTAAGCCCATCATCACAGCCACTGTGTCAATCCATCTCATTGAGGGTTGTGATAGTTATGTGTCAACTTGGCTGGACCATGATTCTAAGTGGTTTAAGCAGTGATATCGTCATCTCCCATGATGAGATCTCATATGATGTAATCATCTCCATGATGAGATGATCTGTGAGCAGCCAACTAGTTGAAAAGGAGTTTCCTCAGGGGTGTGGCCTGCTTCCAATATATATATGGATGTCCTGGGAAAATTCCCTGGCTTTCCTGTTGGATTTTGATCCTACATCAAGCTCATCATTATCTCCAGTTTCTGAACTTGAACCAGGGGCCTGCCATATTGCCTGCCAATCTTAAAATTGTTGCCTTCACAGCCTGTGAGCCAACAATCTGCTATTTTACCTGCTGATCTTGGATTCATCAACCTGCAAAGCCAGCAGCTTGCTATACTGCCTGCCAGTCTTGGGTTTCTCAGACCCTGCAGCTGTGGGAGTTAGGAGAAGTCTCCAGCTTGACATTTGACCCACAGACTTGCCCACTTGCAAGCTTCTACAACTGTGTGAGCTGTTTCCTTGAGAAAAATTTCTCTCCCTTCTCTCTCTCTCTCTCCCTCTCTATACACACATATATATGTGTGTGTATACATGTGTGTATATATATGTATGTGTATCTATATGTGTGTATGTATATATGTGTGTATATACACACACACACACGTATATGTAAGTTTCACTGGTTTTGCTTCTCTAGAGAACCAAGTCTAAAACAAGTGTCTTCCCCTTTTTTCCTGACTGTCTATTTTACCAAGCATGATATCCTGCTCCAGGGAATGGTCCCTTCTGACAACATGACCACAGTAGGTGATATGACATCTGGCTATTCTCTCCCCTAAGAAGCATTCTGGCTGTACTTCTTCTCAGACAGATTTGTTTGTTCTTCTGAAAGTCCATGATATTTTCAGTATTCTTCACCAACAACACAGTTCAAATACATTAATTCTTCTTCAGTCTGTCTTACTCATTGTCCAGCTTTCACATGCAGATGAGGTCAAACACACTTTAGTCTTCAAAGTGATGTCCTTGCTCTTTAACTCGTTAAAGAAGTCTTTTGCAGCACATTTGCCCAGTGCAATATGACATATGAATTTTTGACTGCTGCTGCCTTGGGCATTGATTGTGGATCCAAGTGAAATGAAATCCCTGACAACTTCAATCTTTTCTCCATTTATCATGATGTTGCTTATTGGTCCAGTTGTGAGGATTTTTGTTTTCTTTATGTTGGGGTGCAATCCATACTGAAGGCTGTAATCTTTGATCTTCATCAGTAAGTGCTTCAAGTCATCTTCACTTTCAGCAAGCAAAGTTGTGTCATCTGCATACCGCAGGTAGTTACTCATCTGCTATATTGTCGTGCTATGGTGATTTGCATGTTGATGTGATGCTGGAAGCTATGCCACCAGTATTTCAGACACCAGCAGGGACATCCATAGTGAACAGGTTTCAACAGAACTTCCAGACTAAGACAAACTGGGAAAAAAGGACCATCTACTTTTTTAAAAATTGGCCACTGAAAACCTTATAAAGAACAGTAAATGTCTAATGTATTACTGTAAAACTTTATGAATAACAATAAAACATTATCTGATGTAGTGCCAGAAAATGAGCCCCTCAGGTTGGAAGGCACTCAAAATATGACTGGGGTAGAGCTGCCTCCTCAAAGTAGAGTTGTCGTCTTCAAGGACATGAATAGAGTAAAGCTTTTGGGACCTTCATTTGCTGATGGGGCATGACTTAAAATGAGAAGTAACAATTGCAAACACCCATTAATAATCAGAACATGGAAATGTATGAAGTATGAACCTGGGAAAATTGAAAATTGTCAAAAATGAAATGGAACGTATAAAGATCAATATCCTAGGCATCAGTGAGCTGAAATTGACTGGTATTGGCTATTTTGAATTGAACAATCATATAGTTTACTTACTTTTTTTACAGTATGCTCTTTTGTGTTTCATACCACATGCATGCAGTTATATGGTCAAAACATTTTTTTAAAATAATTAAAAAAAATTATTACAGAGTATGTAACAGTATGTAATTCCTAAGTCACCATGGTGCTAAATTATTGTTTTTGTGTCTTGTGGGTAGTCTTGAATGATGCTTATTTGGTCTTAAAAAGTAAATTCAGTGTTTCAGAATCATGATTTTAAATCCTAAGTCTACAAAGAAATGTCATAATTAACTCTACCTAATTGCAAAATACCCACCTCTTCATCATTGGGAGCTTGTATACCTTTTCACGGGGATATCTCCAATTTAGAGATTATTTGAACATTTAAAAAGAGCCACAAAAATGCTCTTTTGGGTGCCGATGGAGATTTCTGGAGTTAGATAATGGTGATAACTATAAAACATGATGAATGTAATTAGTATCACCAAATTGTGGACTAAAAATGGTTAAAGTGACAATTTTTGTTATGTAAACAATCAAATTTAAAAAAAAATAGCCACAATATCTGATTCTGTTTCCATGAAGTCTCACTAGAACAAAATCTTACTCAGTTGATTCCTGCAAAGCGTTTTACAAAGAGACAGATAGAAAAGAGATGTAGGTGTTCTTTGTTTGCTTGTGTGTGATTTACACATAAACATGTGTGCATAAATTGATTAAAGATATTTCTGCCTATTTTTATGCCATAACTTCCAAAATAGATGCTTCTGCTTGCTGTAGTTTTAAATAATGTCCAGTAAATGATTTTAATAAAATTACTTGCCTAAGATTAAGTAATTTCATTCATTTCCTTTCGATGGTATGAGAAATGCAAAACAGACAAGCTTTTACAGTTTTGAGGGGAAAAAATGTGATGTCCTTGTTGCTGTCTGGAAAAGAGCTAACAGGAGAATCACACACTGTTATGAAGCCGTTTTGATAAAGATTTAAACACAGTAAAACAACACAGTGCTACCCAGATGAAGCTAGTAGATGAGCTCATGTGTTAGTCTAACTCATGTCAAAACTATACCCATAGGTTTTTCTTTCTTTTTTGGTTTCCTTGATTTCTTTTTCTTGGTTCATCAAAAGTTTCTCAAACAGATTTTTAAGAAGAGGTAGAATTCCTACAAGTGCCATTAATTTGTGTCCTCGTCTCTACACTCAAAATACTAAGTGTTTCTAGTTCCCATGTGATGGGGACATCCAAATATACCAGTACTTTCCAAAATGCTTTGAGGTCCTTAGAGGCCATTGTAATGACACTGTATTAAATATTTGACAAAAGGCTTATACATGAAAAGAGATGTATAGGACAAGCATAAATTATTGCTATAGTGATATGTCACAGTGAAGCACTCTGCAGCCTCTTGAATGTAAAAGAATATTTCTACATTTGGTCCCAGCAAACTATTGTGCTATTCTGAAATCCACAGCACAGAAATTATAAGACATCCGCTCATAAACAGAAAGCAAATCACTATTCAGCATTTCCTGCTCTGTTTCCTGCCAATTTCAGATAATTAAAACTTTTTTTAAACCTTTTATTCTGTTCTGCTTTAATTCTGCTTCCTCACCAAAAAAGGAAAAATTTAGAAATTAAAACTTTGCATATAATAATAACAACAAATCTTTAGCTTTTTTTTTTTTTTTTTTTTAACCCTGTGATATTAACTCTTTCTTCGTTATTGCAGACCTCAGGATATCATCGTGTTTGTAATTGGAGGAGCTACCTACGAAGAGGCTCTAACAGTTTATAACCTGAACCGTACCACTCCTGGAGTAAGGATCGTCCTGGGAGGAACCACAGTACACAACACAAAAAGGTAAAGGAGAACCTTCAGAATCCTATAACTCTCACCTCTGTCCCAGAAAATAAAGCTTGAAGTTCCCTTTATATAGGAAAAGTTTGGCCAGTGCTGACCAAAATGCTGTAATGTTTACAGTATAAGTTCACAAAACAATTGAGAGTGTTTGACATCTGAAGGATTTACACCATTAGGTTCATGAGTCACTTTATTAGCCCAGAGACTTGGAAAGTAAAGGCTAACCTGCACTGTAATGATTTATGTTTCCTATATGGCATAGGAGCATTACAGTTTTCTCTTGGGAGCCCTGGTGGCGTAGTACCTAAGGCATTTGACTGCTAACCAGAAGGCTGGCGGTTCAAACCCACCAGCCACTCCTCAGAAGGAAGACTGGGCAATCTACTTCCAAAGACTGGGCAATCTACTTCTGTAAAGATTTACCACCTCGGAAACCCAATGGGGGTCACTGTAAGTCTGAATCAACTCGATGACAGTGGGTTTGGTTTTGTTTGTTTGGTTTATGTTCAAAGGAGAAATTGAATTGCCACAGACTAGCACTTTGAAAATGTTTAAACATAATGATAATGAATTCTGTGAGTTTATTTTTATTGTTGTTGTTAATAAACTATATTCACTCAATAATTATTTAGTAAGAAGAATATAAAGAGGAATAAGGTAAAGATCCTACCTCAAGAAAGTCACTGTTTATTAGGAAATAAGTAAGTACCTGGAAAGACAGGTAAAAGCTATGGATTCTCAGAGTGGCTAAAGGAAATTAGCTAATGTTTCATGGAGAAGATAGAGGATAACCTGACTATAAAGTAAAAAAACGACATGAATAGGGGGAGCACATTCTAAGCAATGTTAATTTACCACATGAACAAATTATAGAAAGCTGTAGGCGACATACATATACAAAGAACAGCAATTAGTCAAGTAGCTAGACTATGCATAAAAAAGTTAAAAAGTTCATTGAATGCCAGAATTGTGGAAGGCTTTGAATTCCAGGCTGAGGAATGTTTGCTGTCTTGGGTAGAAAATGGAAGATCATTGAAGGTTTTTAAACAATGAAATTACATGAGGATCACAGTGTTTAGGTAGATTAATTTGACACTTACAGGTGGAAAAGAGCCAAGGAAGAGAGTAGAGAACTTGGCATAATGGTTGAATTTAATGACTGGTAACCCTGAGAGAACCATGCTAAGCTATGTTCTTTATCCATTGGGAGTCATTAGAAGTGTTCGTTTGCTTTTTTCATTCTGTATTATTATTATTATTTGGGTTTTTGAAGTTACTTTTTTCCCTTTGTTATGGAACTACTATTTGCTTATTCTGAATTTTTTTAAATTCAGAAAGTATAAAGATTAAAACAAAAAACAAAACAAACAAACAAAAAAAACCCTCCCATTCTTTAATCACTATTACATTGTGGTCTTTTCAGGCATATTTCTAAGACTGTGTAGACATTTATGTGAATGTGTCACAGAAAAGGATGTATGTCATTGTACATTCTGTCTTGTAATCTGTATTTCTTATCTATAAGCCAAATTTCTTTCAGTGTTAAATATATAATTATTCATTTATTAAACAAATATTTATTGAAGAGTCAGATTGCTGGGCTTGAATCTTACTACCGCGTATTATTTTTGTGAGTCTAGAAAATTACTTAACTTCTTTGTCAGTTTCCAAAACTCACTGGCCATTTATATATTTCTTTTGTGAGTTGCTAATTCATGTTTTTTGCCTATTTTTCCATTAAGTATTCCTTTTTAAATTTTCTAATAACTTTTAAGAATGTTATGTATGTAACTAAAGATAATGATTATTTGTCTAGTATTTTTTTTAACTTTATTGTGATTTGGGTGAAAGTTTATAGAGCAAATTGGTTTTCTTTTCAACAATCCATATACATTTTGTTTTGTGACATTGATTGCAATCCCCATAATGTACTCTTCCCACTTTCTCCCTGTGTTTACTGTTTCCATTCATCCTTATTTCCTATCTCTTCTTGCCTTCTGAGCTTTTGGCAAATGCTGCCCTTTTGATCTCGTATGGTTGACTGTTCTAAAGAGTGTATACTTCCCTGGTGTTACTGTTCATTTTATAGGCTGGACTATTGACTGACTAAAAGTTGAGCCTCGGGTGAGTTCAGGCTTGAAGGGTATCTGAGGGCTGTAGTCTCAGGGGTTCTACCAGTCTCTATCAGACCAGTAAGCCTAGTCTTTTTTATTACTTTGAGTTTTGTTCCACATTGTCTAGCATATATTTTACAAATCTTTCTTCCCTATTTGGTATTTTTATTTCAAACAAAACAATGTTTTTTATTTTGTTGTATTATTTTTTAAATTATTTATGTAGTCAGATTTATCAATGATTTCTGCCTTTAGTGCCATGCTAAGAAAGTTCTTCCCAGCCAAGATTATATAAATACTCACCTCTATGTAAAAAAAAAAAAAAAAATTTATGAATCAGATTTAAAGTTATGTCTTTAATCTATTAGAATTTTATTTTGGTATAAGCTGTGCAATAAGTTTTTCTTTTATCACTTTTACAGAAGTATTACATGTATATGGAAAAGTATACAAATGATAAATGGACAGCTCAATGAAATATCACAAAGTAAACACGTTCATGTAACCACCATCTGTTGTTGTTGTTGTTGTTAAGTGCCATCGAGTCATTTCCGACTCATAGCGACCCCATGCACAGCAGAATGAAACACTGCCCGATCCTGCGCCAGCCCCACAATCCGTGCTATACTTGAGCCCATCATCGCAGCCACCGTGTCAATCCATCTCGTTGAAGGCCTCCCTCTCTTTCGTCGACCCTCCACCCTAC